AATCACCGTATTTGGAACTATGCGGATTTTATTTTTGTTTCCAAAACTCAAGTTACCACTCCGTGGAACCCATTTAGCCCGGTTTGACAACCCGAATTCCGAGTTAAGCGTCCCGGGCTTAGGAATTAAAAAAAAAGTCAATGAATTGACTAAAATTGTGTGGCTCTCTCACTTATTATATGCCAAACCTAAATAGTGTGGTCTTTGGTCAAAATGCTGTTGATAATGTTAGTTGCTGTCTGGGTTTTGAACCAAATTTTGTGTGCGGAATCGTTGCGAATGTTAGAAAAGGGTTATAGTGAATCTATTCTATCGAAAATCGAAGTATACGACTGGTAAAAAGCCTTTAAGGAAATGGTGCTCGAAAATAGTCATGCGAATGTTAGAGAGATAGTACGTAAGCTAAACATCGGCCGTGAAGCAGATCGTTTGATTTTGACCGATAATATGGGCATGAGACATAGTTGTAAACGATTTTAAGACCAAACACTCGTTGAATCACCGTATTTGGAACTATGCGGATTTTATTTTTGTTTCCAAAACTCAAGTTACCACTCCGTGGAACCCATTTAGCCCGGTTTGACAACCCGGATTCCGAGTTAAGCGTCCCGGGCTTAGGAATTAAAAAAAAAGTCAATGAATTGACTAAAATTGTGTGGCTCTCTCACTTATTATATGCCGCGACTTTCAGTGAATTAAAATATGGAAAAAATCGATGACTAAAAAACCGCCCCAGATTTTGCCGGGACAAATATCGTCTCCTAAGTTTAGCCGCTTATCGTGCTGTACACAACATATCTTTTTCAGCAATGAATCACCTGGTTCCCCTGAAAACCAACAGTTCGACGATTCCAAAATTGCGAAGGATATAGAGTGCGGCCGAAATAAAACAACATCTTTAGTTGGAAATGTCATAGGCAAATCTGAATTAGATTTCGTCAGATGAGAGTACAGACTGCTCAAAAATTTTGAGCCTGGTTGTAAGAATATAGCACAGGGATAAAATAAATGCTTCTTTTAAATATATAAGGATGTAGTTAAAGCGGATGCAGAGGGTATTTCCATTGAAATTAGAAATATTTTCAATACGAATGACGATAACTTTCCACATATACTGTCCAAATCCTATCAATTGATACAGATTATATACAAACTATTGATGAAATCTATTTAGGGGCGGACGTTAGGCCTAAGCTTGAGTTCAAAGATAACGGCTTAAGATTCTATATAACTTTATGCACAGAAATATTACAAAGATTTGATCTCGATATATATTAAAAAAACTGTTGGGGTTGCCGGTGTCAACAGCGAATGTGGAAAGAGTTTTCTCTCAAATTAATTTAAATGAAAATAAAATTCGTCACAAGCTAGACCCTAAAACTTTAAGTGGCATTCCTTTACAGATCTTTTAAAAAATTTACTCTAATGAAAACAAAGATAGAGGAGAATTTAAGCGAAACCCATTATTTTAATGAAATTGTATTTCTGCTACAATTTTTTTTTATGACATTTCGTTTTCTCTTTATAAATAAGCTTTTGTTCTCTTTTACGTATGCAGGGTAAAAATTAAAAACAGAGGAGTCCGGCTCTACTGCAACGACATCAGGGGGAGCCGGAACCACTCCGAGTAACAAAGGTCTGGCTACAAAGCAGAATGCCAAAAAAGACGTTGCTGGTAGAGCATCTGTCAAAGAATGGCCCATCTTTACGGTCAAGGTCCCTACTAAAGCAAGGTATGCGGAGAAGCGTCGTGTTATCTACCTGCTCAGAAGGATACAACTACAACTACCAACCAATGACGAGCTTACATAGGAGCTGTAGGAATCCATTGATTGTGCGAAAGCGGTTTGCTCAACTTTAAACTTGAACACAAAAGTCAGCTGAAGAAGCTAGGCCGAAAATAAAGGACGTAACGCCCACAAAATAGTTCGCTGATATAAACCTGGCGTGGAGACGAAAAAGGCAACGATGCAGATCATACTGTTATTGACTAAGGAATTCATTGAACCGCTGCCGAAAAGTGGCGGGGAGATTAGTTATGTAGGCTAAAACCACCTGACACCAGATAATGAAATGGGCGACGTCAGATAAGCTATTATGGAGACCTAGAGGTATGTCGAAAGTAATGAGTAAGGTGAATACTGTTGAGGGTCTGAATTAGTGGACAGACTTTCAAAATTATACACTGAGAAAATTTGTTTAAGCAATTCTCTAGACGATGCAAACAAAATGTTAAATAATGCGTCTTCTCCAAATAAATATACACCCCAATTAAAATAGCGTTTTTGACACCTAAATTAAACGATATAAATTGATGGCCTGAATCGTGCGAATATAACTTAATTGTTCATCAGGAAACACAGAATTCTAGATTTTACGCCGCCATTAATAAATGATACAAAGCTATCAGTAGGAGAAAAAGCAAGCCACTTAGAACGGATTTTCATGATGCTTTCGAAATGAACTCCAATTTGGTATCCTTAGATACCAGAATCACCTTCCTACTATCATATCACTTCATATCGTCACCCGATTAACGTTTGATTTATTTATTGCAGCATATATGTACATGTGTATATGTATCTTATATTTAGTAGTTTATAAATGTTTATCAATATATATTTTAAACAGTAAGATAGATTAAGAAGGTCTATTTCATGAGTTTAATGTTTTAATATATAGATAATTTGGCATAATTAAAATTATTATGTGCGAATCGACTGATACAAATACTTTTCTAAATGTTAAGTTACTTTTCAATACTAAATAGCAACTAAAGCAGGTAAGTTAGTTTTCGAAATTTAGTGTTATGTTTACTACCATTTTTAATGTTTTGTACATCGTGTCCATCGACTTCCTCTTTTCTCTTTAGTTCATCTGGTAAGGTATAAGGTGTGAAATGCAATGAGTTATATTTTCAAGTGTATATAAAGGGTTTTCCAGTAGGAATGATATTTAAAAAACATTATGATTAAAAACAAAAAACACTAATTGTTAAGGAAATTCACAGGTTTTTTCTTAATGTGAAGTAAAATTGATACAAATCAGTTCTGAATATAACATCATTCAAATGGCCTCCGCAACTTCTTTTACAGGAACGAATTCGATGAACCCAATTTTTGAGTACTTTTTCCACTAAATAAAGTCGTATGTCATGAATAGCTCGTTCAATATTGACTTCTAAAGCTTGAAGAGAGTGTGGTTTATTGCCAAAGACCAATAACTTCAAATAACCTTACAAGACGTAGTCTGATTGTGTTAAATCACAACTTCCTGGAGGTTGTTGTACGTGCTGTGCGGCACGTAGCCCCATCTTGTTGGAACCAGATGTTGTCAAGATCGACTTCTTCAAAAGTTGGTTATCATCAATCTATACCGTTCTCCTGTGAGTGTAATTTTTAGTGAGAATAATTTTATACGAATGCAAGCCCAAATCCTTTCCCACAATCCGCCAGGTTGTGGTTTGAGAAAGTGGCAATTCTTGAGAACGTCTTGGAATCGACAAATTGCGGTCTTCAGCAACACTTGCCTGAACGTCAGCAATATTTTCATTACTTCGAGCGCTTCTTTGTTTTATTGGCACTTGAACATTATGTAAAGAAAATGTACGCTAAAAATTTTCAATATTTCGACGAATAACGAGCACAGGTGGACGAATATTACCACCATAAAATGTCAAAAGCGCACAAATTGGAGAACGATTATTTTGATAATAAAATTGAATAATTTGTAAACGTTGTTTTTGGGTATATCTTTCCATAATGAAATTGTAAACATTACTGAATACAATGAAAAAAAATTGAGATTATTAAAAATGGCCGAAACGACACTTAGAAATCATATCGTCCCTATTGGAAAACCCGATATAAGTTTCATGAAGTAATCAAACAATACTTCTACGCATACTTACTTAAAACAATCACCTTGCACTGCGATTGGCTTTCGCCAATAGCGTTTAGAGCCCTCACTTCGTAGGTACCGGCATCTGTTGGTTTACAAATTGTGAGTGATAAGGAATAATCCTCTGTGCGGTATGAGTCCCGAGAAATTTTTACGCAAGCATCAGCACTTATTTGCTGTCCATTTTTAAACCTAGCATAATATTTAACAAACGAAAAAAATTTAAATTAAAAAATAAACAAGAAAGAACTAAGTTCGACCGAAACTGAGAACAGACTCTCTCTCAAAGTTTTCGGTAATTATGTACTTAATGACCCCCACTTCGGAGGGGGTTGGGGTTGCAGATGGTATGTGAAGGAAGTCTGTGAAATACAATTTCAGTGGATTTAGCCGTCAGCCACCCTTCAAAAAAATTATATGAAGGGTTAAAATTTCGTGAAAACACCATATTCCCAAATTCAACCCTGGTCGGTCAAAAACCGGGGTGTTCATAATTCAATCGCGTCAAACTCCTTTCTGCACTGGCGGCCTTCGGCCTAGCTTCAAAAAAAAAACCCTGGTCGGTCCAAAACCGGGGTGTTCATATTTCAATTGCGTCAAACTCCTTTCTGCACAAACAGCAGCGAAAAGGATTTTGAATTATGAACACCCCGGTTTTCGACCGACCAGGGTTATTTTTTTGAAGCGCGGCCGAAGGCCGCCAGTGCGGAAAGGAGTTCGACGATCTCCGATATTCATTCATTCCATAAAAACGCGGCACAAAAGAAATTTTGACTATTACATTTCTTCAGTATATTTTTTTCATAAGAAAATGTTTAACACACTGAACTTGTAATTACAGCTAAGAGATCTGAATTCTACAGAATTTTGCCGCTACAACAACAACAACAACTAAGTGACTTGAATATGTGATATGTGCAAAGTGTGTAAATAAATATTGAAAAATATACATAAATTATTGAAAAAATTCACTTTCCGCTCACGGATTTGTAATCTACATAACTTTTCACTTCACGATGACGTGTCAACCAGTACTTAGAGGAAGTTATTCAGGAATCGTTTCAAGTTAGATACAAGTTTGAGCGCCAACATCTTTGCAACCAAATCTTTGTACAAGACGTGATTAAACCTGCTGAATCGAATACGTTGCTTGAGTCGGTGAGAAATGTACTCAACATAAAGCTGTTCAATAACGCCAAAACTTTTTATATGCGCTTCTCCTGTGTCAACATTCGGTACGTCTTCCTCTATGGAAATCGCACGATCAGTTGAATCGCCGAAGAGTTTCTTACATACATATATGTAGACTCTTCTGGTGAAAAGAAATAGCCAGTCGGGAAGCCTTCAAATTCCCCAAAACTTGCTAATGAGTTGAGTGAAATAAATTTTAGACTGTTGATATATTCTGCGGTGGTCTTTGTAAATTGGCAGTATTGCCAAACAGATACAGTATTGGCCATGCAAATACAGTATTTTATGCCATTGGTGTACACCGTTCATCCTTACGAAGTCCGTGTAGTAGAAATTTGTCTATTTCGTTCATTTCAATGTAAATGTCTATTGGCCTAAAGTCGGTATAATGTCAATCGGCTAAATCCGAGGTTGGCAAATCGTTAGTAAGATAAACGTATCTTTTTGAAATTTGGCATTGAGGGTTCGAGGTGATATGAAAAGTGCTTCTTCGCTCTTTGTACGGCTTCCAAGTAGTGCTCCAAACCTAGTTCCATAAGCAGTTGAAGACGCCTGGGAATGCCAAGGCGTTGGGCACACGTCTCGGTGACGAATGAGACATGAGAACAGTTGTCAAGAAACGTACGAACGATAGGTATAACCTTCATCATAATATCAGCGGATACCTATAAAATTACGCGATTAGCGTCGGCGGAGTGTGATGTTATAAGTAATAACGCGTTCTCCATTTGAGGGAACATCGTAGGTTGTGGGTTGATCGGTAAAACTTGTATGAAGCAAATTATGGTGATGGTGAGAATATGGCATTTCCTAAGGCAATTTAAACACGTACCTAGCTTCTTAATTTCAGATATTTTACCATTGTAGTCGAGTTGCCTGAACTGTAAGAAAGAAGCACAATTTCACACCATAATAGCGATTGTTTCGCTTTATTTTCTGGCTGCGTAAATGCTATATAAAATACATTCTTTGTTTGGCACATCATCTGCAGCTATGGAACCACTTAATATATTGCTTTTAAGCCCCTTCTGGGTAGTTTTTGCCTTGTGTACTGGAACAGAATCTTGCTGGAAGATCCAATGCGAAGATAGTATTGCTTAACTGCTTTACCACGCCTTCTAAAACATCCTTTTGGTACACGTTTGTCCCAGTTTTAACTCTTTTTTCACAAAAGGGAAATAGCGCAAAGCCTTTATAGAAGACTCTCCACCAAACCATTACAGCAGCTGGATGGTGAACAGATTGAAACCTATTATAATAAATATAATGAATAACATTTTTTGTGTCTTTGGAAGTTTTTGCGTAGATTTTTTCATATGTAAAAAGCAATATTTTTATGGCCGTTGACCACGTTACACTGAAGAAGCCGCTGGCATCTGTTGAGAATAATTTGTTTCAAGCACGTTGTCAGAAGATGAAGCCGAGTGGACCGACGGCTTTCGTCTGGAATAAGCCTTGACATTGATCTGTTCGATATATCGATTTCCATTGACAGAGTTTTTCGTTTACTAAGGGGATTTCTGCGAATGCATTCTCGAATAGTTTTAATGGTTGAATTAGTTGGAACCACGTGAGGATAACCACTTCTCATTCTGTCTTTCAACTGTAGACATTATCTTATGCAGTGAATACAAATTGTAATAAAAAATAACGCTTGATCGATTGATTTTATCTACCGAGTCGCGAACGTGAACAACACGGATAATTTTAATACGAACCTAAACATTAGGATTTTATCTCATCCGTAAAATGTTCTTAAGTAGAACATATACATACACATATTACTGTAATAATTGAATAATAGAAAACATATTATTACTACAGACTTACCATTGTACATTTGGCTCAGGCATTGCATATATATCAGTTTCTAGCGTTAAAGTTCCATTTGCTTGTACTTCTGTATCTTTTAATGGCTTTCTAATTTTCGGTTTGCCTATAAATAATACAAATTAGTTTCAAATTATGCAGACTTCACACAAATTACAGTTTACTGTTACAATGCATTCGTTTTCAAGATTGCCATAATCGTTCATGATTTTACAGCAATATGTGCCATGCATTGATGTATTGACTTCTTTAAGCACTAATTTATATGAGTTATTCTCCTCAATGCGACGAAAATCTTTTCTTTTCTCATCGATCTCGATACCGTCTATATACCACTTGATTTTGGGCTCAGGGTAGGCGTTGAGTCGAACTTCTAGTTCCACGTTACAATCACCTTCAGTTATAGTAATATTTGACAATTTCTTTGTAAGGTCAGGGGCGCACTTAATTAACAGTTTCGTCTCACTCGATGCTGAACCATAATCATTCTCAGCTTTTACAGTATATATTGCACAATCAACGCGAGACACGTCCTTTATTTTCAGCGTATATTCATTTCCGTCAGCAACAGTAGTGTATTTTTTGTTATTAGAAACATCAATTTCATTCCCATCTTGATACCATCGTACCTTGGCTCCTGGGAAAGCGTCAATTTTAACACTCATAATGACAGTCTCCTTTTCCCCATATACATATTCCTCCTCTAAATATTTTACAATTATAGGTTTGGAGTTAACTATACAGTTCCAGAACTCAGAAGATTGGCTCAGATCGTTGGTAGCTCTTATAGAGTAGCTTCCACTTTGACTTAACTTTATATTAGAAATTTCTAATACGTATGTCTCTGTGCTTTTTCCTATAAAATTACTTGAAATCTTTATGTTTTTTTCGTGGGAAATATCCCTGCCGTTATTTGTTATATTAATAAGTGGTTTGGGAAAGCCTTCAACTTCCATTTCTATTCTAACTGTTTCTTCAGCAAAACAGGTTACGTCATTTACTTTTTTTATTTTAGGTCCCGCTGAAACATATTAAAACAATTGGTTAGAATGTACTGAATATATAATATTGATAATTAAATGTCTGCGCAATAAAATAAACACATTTCATTAAACCAAATCTGAGGTCATTTCAGATGCATTTTTATACTTTTGCAACATGTTGCCACAGAGTAGCTGTAACTTGAGTAAAATTGAGATATCGTTATGAATAATGTACACATGTTCCTTGACAAAAAAGGAAGGACGAGTTCGTATGGATTGTATCGGCATAAAACTTTGCCTAAATATTGCGCTTTAAATAGACCATCTTATGACCAAAAATTGTCAAAACTACTACTGTTCAAGCCCCCAAATACCGAATATGTGGACCCCAGTTCCTACAGCAAACATTTTATCGAAAATATTGGTAAACTTTCGAGATATCCCTTGCCCGATAACTGTATGCCTGTATGTCAAAAATGGGTTGAATCGGATTCGAACTTCCGGTTTATTTTATACCGCATATATCGGACAATATGTGAGCTGTCATAGTGAAAACGAGAGAGCGTGTTTTGCTTATAACAATATATTTTTATGCCTAAAATCGGTTGACTTTACTACATATTTATTGGTGATGGCAGGTGTACCTTATCATCTTATCAAATCGGGGCAATACATCCCTTAGACCCCATATATGTACCAAATATAAAATTTTCAATCTTCGGGTTGGACTTATACCATATATACGAATTACCCCCATTCCCATATACCATATAAATATGCTGATTTTCGATTTTCTAACAAGCCTTATGACGAATATGTCGTTCAGTGTGTGAGTCAGGTTTATATATAAAAATAGCTTGAAAATATATTCTCAAGTATACCTGAGTAATGTTTAAAAATTATATAATGAATTCCGACTTTCCACCTGATTTGAAACCATACAGGTTGGTCAAAATGTGTGACATTTTAATGAAACTAAGTTCACTTGAAAATTATGTATTTGTCCACTGAATAGGAATGCAATTGGCTTAGACCTTGGCCTAAACCTTACATCCCTAATATAAAGAATTTCAATCCTCTGGTTGACGTTTTCCCCACAATATCAATATTTTTCGCTAAGGAAGCAAAATATAGTAATAAAACTAAGTGAGTCTATGACCTTCAAAATAAGTTAATACGATATCAAATTGTAATCCATTCGCGATTTCGTCGAACAATGAAGTTGAACCCTTTTGCTACATTTTGTAATATAAAGTTTTCCCAACACCTGAATGTATTTCCCCGGCTTTGAGCCTTGCAAGTTGCAAGAATATAAAATGTTCGGTTACACCCGAACTAAGTGTTTCCTTAATTGTTCTTTTAATATTTGATATTTTATCTTTTGTTTCCGATGGGTTTGAACCTACTATGAATTTATTTCTCTTTTATAGCTTTCAAAGGCTTCTGAACTAGTATATTATACTCATATGTATTATACGGGAGTTGAAGTAATTCGTAGACCAATTTAACATATTTTCGGCATTAAGCAACCGACAGTTAGAATTTCCATCCGGTATGGTGGGACTAAGTGAACTATTGATCTGATTCAACCCATTTTTGTTAAACGGGAATCAAGAAAGATTATTTTCTTAATTCGATAATATATCGCACAGATTGGCAGATATTTTCGATAAAAAGTTCGTACTAGGAACCGGGGTCCACATATTGGGTATTTGGGGGCTGGAACAGTAGTAGTTTGATCTTAATAATTTTAAGCCATAAGGTGGTACATCTTAAAGCCTCTATTTATACAAAGTTCTACCCTGATACATTCATTGGTGCTTGATTTGTAAACTGGAAAGTGAAAGAATCAGATGGAATTTCAAATTGTGTTATTTGGGAAGTAGGCGTGGTTGTACAAGTAGTAAGGTTTCGCCCACTTTCGCACTGTAACATAAGCATATGAGGATAATATTGTGTGCCAAATATGGTTAGAATTAATAAGGAATACTACAAGGAAGTTATGCAACGTTTGCGTGAAGCAATACGGCTCAAACGATCGGAATTGTGGACAAACAAATCGTGAATTCTGCATCACGATAATACACCAGCTCAAACATCAATGCTTATTCGTGATTTTTTGGCAAAAACGCAATCTTGCCTCAACCACCGTATTCATCAGATTTGGCGCCCTGTGACTTTTGTAAGAATTTGTAACAAAATATAATTTCTGAATACTCTTGTGGGGCACTGAATGTACGAAATTACCGATTTGCTTTTATGCAAGAAGATTTTAACAAGACTAATGTTCAAAGTAAGGTTTTAGTAGTTGGACGAAATGTTTCTAATTAACTTGATGTTGAATCTGCTGTTCCTTCACGTACGTAAATAGATCAATATAGATTGTCGTAACATATGTTTCTTTAAATTATTGCTAATCTCGTTATTTTGTGAGCATTAATATAAATAAAGATGTAATCACCGAAATAATTGCTTTCTAACACAAACCTATTTCAATATATATAATTTAATTTTGAAACATAATTTTTTTTTAGTATTATACATACCTACTTAATGTGAATTAACTAATTTTTCAGTAAAAATAATAGACCTTTGATAATCAACTTTGTTAATGGTAATTAACTAAATGGTAAATGATGGGGATAAATGAATTTTAAAAAAATGTTATATACGAATTTAAAATTCTTTATCCGACGAAATTGTGAAAAGACTGGCATGCAATCTTAGTTGACAGAATCATTACATTATATAATATTAACCCCATATACGTTAGACCAATGTCTGAACCAATACCATTCAAATGTTGCGCCAAAAGACACTGGGACCAAGAATACTTACTAACTTAATTTCATTTAAATATCATTCCTACCGATATTTTTAGTATATGCATTGAGATCCAAAGTCTGGTGGTGCGATTTTGACGTTTTTAGTTTAGAGTTTACCAACATTATGTTGACTACTTGTACTAAATTTTATTCCAATATCTTAATTTATATATTTCGATTTTTAACTATAACATGAAGAAGTCTGGGAAATTCGTTACGAACTGGTCCAGTAATTGCTGAAATTTTCCCTAAAGGGCCAGCAAATTTAATGCTTTTAGCAAAATTAAATGCTCTATCGTTTTTCTTTAGAGCCATGTAGCCTAGGCATTTCGGATGTTGGTTTTAATAATTAAAAAACCACTTCGTTTGAGTTATTAAAAAAAAATAATAAATGTGGGCATTCAAGAATTGTGGGTTTCATAATAAGTGTTACATAAATAATTCCTTAAGTTTATACTCTTGTATTTGAAATGCCCTCAGGTTGCGTTTTTGAGATTTTACTACATTTGTTACAAAAACCAAAGAAACCTCAATTTCGACAGTATTTGCAAGATTGGATGCGATAGTATTGACGAAATAACAGCAATTGACAACAGCAACAGCCTGTAGAGCAAGCACACACCTAGTGTAACATTTTCTGAATATGCTTTAACCACTTATGCAATTAATTATAAACACAAATATAAGATATATGTACATACCTTTTACAACCAGGTTTATAGATGACTCATCTTCACCTAGTTCGTTCTTTGCATGAATGGTATATTGCCCTGCGTCTTCTGTAGTAATATTTTTAATGACCAAGGACATGCTTTCCTCATCCGCATATAAAATTTTGTGTTTTTCGCCTACTTCAATAATTTCACCGTTATGCTTCCATTCAACTCCTGGTTTAGGAAATCCTTTGCACTGTAAATCTAGAATCGCTGTACCTCCTATTGTTGTATTAGCTTCACGATGTTCGATAACCAAAACGGGCTTTTCTGGTTCTTTGTGTAGTGTTTGTATGGCACCTTGAACAGTTAGCTCCGCACTACATGATATGTTGCCTGTCGTAGTTTGAGCTACACATGTATAAATTCCTGCATCCTCTGGTTTAACATGTTGAAATACTAGAGCCAGAGAATCTTCGTCTTCGCCGAACAAAACCTTAAATCGTTCTTCTGGGTCAAATTCAACCCCATTACGTTTCCAAGTAAATGTAGACTTTTCTCCGGCTGAAAGGATTTGCCCACTTAATGATCCAAAAGGATTTTTATCCTCTATAAGATAAAAATAAAAGAATGAAATGCAAATTAAATATTTGGTTTTAAGTACATAACATATAGAAATATTAAATTACTTATCATATATTTTTCGGCTCAAACCTCAAGTACATCATCCACTCTCTTCTTTGCAACAAAACTGTTGTGACATAGTGGAGTAGTGCATGTACACTTCGGAAGGTTTTTCGCCCTTGTTCAGCCTCCTGATGGTGAATAACCTATTAAAGGAACTCACACACAGATAATTCGCAAAAAACCGTATACGATCCTACTAAGGGTAACTAAGTGGACGGCAGAATGTAGTTTAGCCATCAATCATCAGTTAACTATCCAACAAAAAATTTAACTAAGAATCAGCGCCCAAATGGGATCTTGCATTACTTTTATTGCCACACGACATTTAATACCCTAACCTAATATTAGTATTCTAAGAAAGGAATAGTGAACTCGCAAAATCGTGTGCGATTTTGACTATCCACAAAACAGATGTAGTTATGATCAAAAATCATAAGATCAGACGAATTCATCAAAGACAAATTCAAGTTAATGAAAACAATATTGATCGCAACAGAATATCTAGCTCTCAAAACAACAAGTGAGAAATATCATCGTTGAAAAGACCACCCAGAGGAAGGTAACCACTTCCAGCGGGATGCGTTTGTAGAAATTAACTATAATGTTATTTGGTTAATTGCACCTATACATAGTCATACTTTAAAAGTACTTCGGCATCTTCTTGATATCAATATCCTTAATCGGAATCTGAGCCAGAGTGGATATTGTCTTCGTAATCACAGCAGGGTTGCAAATAATGCATTAAAAAAGTAATTGGATTAACTTTTGAATTAAAATTTGTTGTCATAAAAAAATAAAAGTTTCAGTTTTAATCCAAATTTTTTAATTAAAAAATTCGCAACCCTCAATGCCATATCCTTTTCCTTTTACCAACATAATTATTAAAAGCACATTGCAATAAGTGTGCAAAATCCGCTCAGGCAGCGTACTGATCTCAACTCCATTGAACACTTGTTGAGGAAGTTGGAGCAAAACTTCATGGGAAGAGAAATTCCAAGTAAACCCGACCTAAAACAGTTTTATAGGAAGAGCGGAACAAAATTGATAAAAACTATTTGGAAGAGTTAGAGCCGTAAATAAGTCCTTCATGCTTTTTGTTTAACTAAACCAACGAATTCTTGCTCAGGATTATTTAAAAAAAGTTTCGGGGTCTTGATTTGTATTAACTTCTCTAAATGCTCATATATCTGATGCATTAATATAATAAAACGCCTCTACACCAAAAATTATTCAAAAACCACAGCATTTTAGACGTACAGTGCGTTCAATCCTTTGCTTGCAGTGGCATATTTTCAGTCTTAGTCGCTCTAGGCTCCAGACCAGAAAAAATGCCAGCCGCCCCTTTCTCAATACCCATCATATTGACATGTATACTATAAAATTAATTAATTTCTTACAAACTTTTGTCGAAGTCGACTCAGAAATTTCGTTAACTATAATAGCAGTTAGTTTATTTTGCTTGCTGCAAAAAAATTACTCTTGGAGTAGAAAAGAGAACGAACAAGCCTCTTGGCTGCTTTCATCTGCTCATTCACCTACTAAATTAAGCGAGTGTGCTGAACAGGGAACAAATTCGGCAAGGGAAGACAATTCTTTTATTTTAGCTTCTAGGCCGTTATATATGCCTGACATAGCTGCGTGGTCAAAAAAATTGCCCTCGGCAGTTTGAATTGTCGATTCCAAATTCAGTTCAAGTTGAGGTAACAACATTTGCCATTTGTTGAGATTTATGGCCTGTGTTTGGAATGAACTTGTGGAAACTCTTCTACAGGTGAGCCATTTGGTAATACATATCTGATTATATAAGTGAGCTGGACTACGTGAGATATATTCGACGTCGAGTCGATGATCAGAGAAAAATATTTCGCTGCTAATATTTTCATTACGATTATTTTCAAAACCTTGTTTCCCATAAGCCGAATGAATTATTCGCATGTTATTGAAGACATATATGTGTGTTTGCGTGATCAATTCTTGGAAAACTGTTTTTTAATTTTATTTTTTTTGCAAATTAACACATGTTCGATTGCGATCACTGACGCATTCGGCCGTATGTCTTGCCGTAAAATAAGAAAAATTAGTGCTCAGTATAGAAAACGCCGCCTTTCTAACGAAGGTCCCAAGTCGAACGTTTTTAAATACTTAGTATTTTACATTTGTGAAGATCTGACCATTATGGAAAAACCGGAAACATAGATAACAAGCCAGGAAGAGGGAGGAATCACATAGAAGACAAAGCTAGTGTTCTCCGCTTTGAAAAGAAAACATTGCACAGTAAAAAACAAAAAATTAAAAAGGGATTAGATATATGTATCATTAATTACAATACGTGAAAGACTTCAGAGCTCTGGCATAAAACGCTGCAGTTCTGTAATCAAACCCATACGTTCAAAAACACACATTAAAACAAGTAAGGAAGGTCTACGTTCGGGTGTAACCGAACCTTTTATACTCTTGCAACTTGCAAGGATCAAAGCCGGGGAAACACCTTCATGTGTTGGCAAAACTTCACATTAAAAAATGTAGCGAAAAGGTTCAACTTCATTGTTCGATGAAATCGTGATTATATTACAATCAAATTTAGTATCATATTAAATTATTTTGAAGGTCATGGACCAACTTAGTTTTATTACTATATTTTACTTCCTGCCAGCGAATATTATTTTAAAATCATTCTCAAATGAGATATATATATTATATATGAGGTATGTATGTGATATAAACTCAAGCCTCAGAGGGTAAGTTTAATATTATATATTAAGTTAATATAATATGAAAAACGTCAACCAAAGGATTGGAATTCATTATATTAGGGATAATATAATTTTATAACTTTTCGGAAAATGTGTTCAGTTAATTTGATTAAAATATCACACATTTTGACCAACCTAAACGGTTTAAAGTCAGGTGAAAGTCGGAAATCATTATATGGGGTACAGGTTGGTTGCAAAGTTTCAGCTATCACTAAGAAATAGCACTACCAGCTCCAAGTTGGTACATCTGTCGTAAGAACACATGCAAAGCTACTAATTCTGTCAATTAATTCTTTGTTTACAAGCCATTGAAGTTGACGTATCAAACTATTTTTTTAATATGTAAAAATTTAATATCGCGCAGTGATTAGATTCTTTGTTTTGAAAGGTTTAAAAGCAAAGGAAATTTATGAACAATTGTTAGAAGTATATAGGACTCCTCACCTTCAAAACGCACCGTTGAATTTTGGGCTGATGAATTTAAACGTGGTCGTAATAGACTTGAAGGCGATCCAGGCGAAGGACGACCAAAACCGCAACCATACCCGAAATCATTGAATAAGTTCATAATATTGTTAGTGAAGATAGAAGTTTGACTAAGCGGGAAATTGGTAATGCCATAAGCATCTTAGACGAACAAATACTTCATATTTTACATGAAGAATTGCGTATGAAAATACTGTTTGGAAAGTTAGTGCCGCACACGTTAACAATTCAACAAAAACTGGATCGAAAACAAATTTCTCAGCATAATTTGGAGCGTTTTAAGCAGAATAAAACCAAGTTCTTGCGTCGTTTTATAACTATGGATGACTCTTGGATCTACTACCATGATCTTAAATTGAAACAAGAACGTTTACAATGGACTGAAGCTGGTTGTTCAGTCCCAAAGCAAGTGAAGTCACAACGATCAGCAAAGGTTATGACATCCGTTTTTTAGGGATGCTAAAGAAATTTTGTTCATTGATGATCTGCAGCAGGTAAAACAATCTACTCAGAATATTATTGCAGCCTTTTGTATCAGCTGAATGAAAAATTCGTGAGAAAATACCTGGTTTGCAGCACACAAAAATCATTTTTCATCAAGACAATGCACCTGCTCACAAAGGTGTTTTAACAATGACAAAATTCAACGAATTAAAGAACGGATTGCTTGAGCATCCTCCGTATTCATCAGATTTTTATCCCAGCGACTACTACCTTTTCAGAATGCCTCGTGGAAAGCGTTTTCGTCGAATGAAGAAGCTTTACAGCCGTAGACGGGTATTTTGCAGAGCTTCCGGAAAGTCATTATAGGGATGGCACAAAATTTTTGGAGGATCCTTGGAATAAGTGTATTGAGGTTAAGGGAGATTATATTGATTAACAAAATATATTTCGTACCAAAAACAGTATTTCTTCATTTCGAGCGCAGAAACTTTTCAACCAACCTGTACATTGGGGTCAGAGGAATGGAATGGCTGATTGATTTTAGATATTTGATAATTGTTATTAGAAAATCACGCTCTTTAATTTCGTTAAGATAACTCACATATTGACCGATAAATGCGGTATAATGTCAACTGGAAGTACGAAATTTTGTTTATTAGGTATACAAGTATTTTGATATATTTCTTAAAATAATTCATGTACTTCACACCATTATGGAGTCATAAAAGTACAGAATTGTGTTTTGCCGTCGGCATTTTCATATCATGTGTACATGTAAACAAATATGAAAGAAAAATATTTGTAAATTTGTCGACAAACAACATATGTATGTAGATAAGAACACTCATTACTTCATGTGAAATCTCCGTTGACACGGTCAACCAATGATCGAAGCTCACGTTTTTTGCTTTTATGTCAAAGAGTTAATCTGTCGAAGAACGAACGATCGCCGATTGTCACCGCTTCCCTTGCCGCTCTAACAGCTTTCACAACAAATCATCGTAAATATAATATGTATGTTTATATATGAGCATGCAAATATATTGACGCATTTTACGAGTCACGGAAAAATATTTTAGAATTGTAAAATATTTTAAATCGACAAAAGCTTTGTTGCCACTTTTGTTGTTTTCTGTGTTTTGTGGGCTTGCAGGGCTGCCACTTTTATCTTCTAGAGGGAACATAAAAAAGATGTTCAATTTATAATTTCTAGCTTTTGCCATCGTCGCGAAAAGACGC